GTACAGGAATCCACTTCAAAGGACAGACCCACAGACACTCCCTTTTATTATTGTAGATATGTATAAGGTATACATACTGTCATTTGAATGCTTGAGTTTAAATACCATATCTTATTGTATCGGACTGGCTAAGAGTATATAGATGTGAACAAACATGCACAGCCTTCAGATACGTACTTAGTTGCTCCAGAGTAAATGAAAATATGAAGGATTTATCCTGGCAAGAACAGGATTTTACAGTATGGTGTTTACCTGGTATTATACTTGCCCATTTACACCATACTGAGGAATGTTTGAAGTTGTATGATCATGTAAAGGATGTCAGTTTTGCTGTTAACCTGGAAAGAAGATATGGCAGCTTGCAGAATTAATGTTTATTTGTGGTCCAAAAGAAGGTTCGTTAGCCCCCCCACCACACACACACACATACATACAGAGATACCACTGTCACAGTTTAACTGTGTATTACTAAACTTAGTACTTAAATATGTAGTAGCACAGTAGTATAGTATTAAAATACAATTCGGTAACACACCCTTTTATTATTATAAATATTAAAATCAACCCTTTCAAGATGGGTCATAGGTGAAAGGCCATGTCATCTCGTTTGTTGACTTGCATTCAAAATTTTATTGAACTGCTATTTCATGAATTTATGTCAATAAGTTTAGTATCAAACTGTAGATTATAATTCAAATTTCAGTACTACATTACTCAATTTCTTAATTTGAAAGTAAATATTAAAAAACACAGATATACATCAATTTTTGTGTATCAAGTGGTATGTTGAATGCAGCACTGGTTCATGTTAGATGTTTGTGAAGTCAAAATACTAAGTCTATAGTTTTGTACAAATTAGAAACTCAAATTACTGATATTGACAAGCTAGAATATAAAATAAGAATGTCTTATCTATTCTGTTTGCTAAAATATTACTCATGTAATAAATCAAACACAGTGGCACCCCATCCACCTCTTTCCATTTTTGGAAATGTTCCCTTATATACACTTACTTCTATATATGACATGAATAACCAATTGGAAGCTCAGAATGTCCCCCTACTGGCTTTCTCAGCCATTTTAACAGGCTTGGATGCCATTTATTTTGTTTAAACAAATATTTCAAAGAGGTAGGGTGTGTCTTTAGTCTGCTTGAAATTTAATATATTTTTAGACTAAAATAGATCTTACTTACTTACTAAGCTTGATAAATTTTAGTGGAATTCTGTGGTATTGATGTAGTAATTTATGATTTTTTAGTTACTCAAATGTATATATAAAACCTAAAAAACTGTTGTTTCATATCCTCCATGTGCAAAATTTTAAAGGCTTAGCAACCTACATCAAGCAACAACTGAGTAACTATAAGAAATAATTGTTTGCTCACTTCTTTATTTAATATTCTGTTTTAAGAAAAATAAGTTTAAGAACTTATTTCAAAATAGCAATAATCTATATACATATATATAATGCATAATAATTGAAATGTGACTGTATTTTACAAACTATTAGTCTTCTAAAACACAGCCAAGACAAGTTATTTTGTACATACTAAAGGTCAGTTTTGTGTTATTGGATACGGTAACATGAGTGCATATGTCCCGCATCATTTTAACTTCTGTTAAATGGCTGAAAGTCAATATAATAAAAATAATAAATATATATAAATGTATGTATAATGTTATGACGTTTAAGCTATTTTAACATTTATGTTTTCGTGTTATAATTTGTGTTCATTCTAGAATAAAAGAGGACAAATTTATATTTATTTCCTAATTTTTCATGGTGGTTACTAGATTGGTCAAATCTACCAAACCCGTACAGAGATTCATTATTGAAAATAACATAAAATAGAAAGCTTTTCCTTTAAAAATATTTGATAACTATTTGGATATTATAAAGACTTTGTATGTGAAATTTGAAAATTTTCTGATGCATAAAAGTATTTTTAATCTTAAAATGAAAATTACTTTGCATGTTAGAAAGGCAACATGCGAAAAGAAAAAATAGACATGAGAAAAACATTGCTTTACAAACCTTAAGACTTAATAAAAAAATCTGATATTTTGGGATTGAAAGCCTTGGAATGTTTACTCATAATCTCCCAAATTTCTTGAACATTTGCTTACTAATTTAAAAGTTATAGCATGAAAACAATAACAAGCACAAAATGGTTACAAGGTTGGTCCCAAGGACCGAGCCCATGCTGAAAGAGTTAATAGTTTGTGTATTGGACTTGTTCAAAAGACTTCACAATCCAGGAAGGGAACAGTATTATAGGTTATGTTTTTATTTGAACTTGGATGTTTTGTATTGTTTGTTAGAGAGAGTTTGAGTTTTGGCATCATGAAACAATGATATATGACACTTAGAAATTTCCTGAGTCTCTATATATGGCATAATGCCTAAAACGTTTGAGAGATTTGGGTAAAACAAATATTTTATTAAAACCCAGAGTTAATTAGTCATCTAGTACATTAGTCCATCAGATAATCAGCCAAACTTATGATGTGTCATAAATATGGGAGGAAATTTAACAAGTAAATGATGGCTTATTCTTATTTTGAGTTAGGCCTATCAGAACACATAGCTTGTAGAACTTGCACGTTACTGTTAAAAAATTATCATTTAGTGGACTGGACTCTACATTATTTTTATCAAATAATAAACAAAGAACCTTCCCAAGGATAGAAAATGTTACAACAACATATTTCTATAACTTACATGAAAACAGCATATGGGTACTAGCAAAATGTTGCTTCAAATACATAATAAAATTAATAACTACTATTTTACAAGGCTCAAAATTGATGCAAGCAAATGACTGGTTAAAGTTTCAGTTTTGCTAGTAAAAGTTAGAAGGCACTAGAAAAACATTGCTGGTACACATTCCAGAAAGAGCAAGCATTCACAAATTCCTATTGTCAAGTATCAACAAACCAATAATACATACATTTCAGTCATTTATATTGCAAGATTCTGAACACAGAAGGTCACTATGAATGTGATTAACATGACTGTTTCAATTGCCAGTTTTGCAATCCTCATTTGAGCTGCATGGCATACACAGGTTAAGTATACAAAAACATAGACAGTGAGAATGCAGCTTTAACTTCTTTGACTGGTTGCCAAAGAATCTAAAGTGTGGACCAGCTGGCTAGATTCACATTATCCATTTCCTGCACTACAGTTTTGCAGGCAATGTGGCTAGAAATATTGTGCATAAGTAATAATCATAAAATGGAAATTGTGTAAACTGCATTTTTTTTTCACACTTATCACTTAACTTATCCAAGTTCAAAACAAACGTTAAGCATATTGGCTTTAATGCTTTGCCAGCTTTTTTTAATTTAAGATATAGCTTTTAATAATAAAATATTTTTTGTTATAGGGTGACCATTAATAGTGGAGTACTGTAGACTTTGTCATTCCAGGTGATTGCAGCTTATATACATCAATTTTCACCTAAATCAAGCATCCTTTAATTTTTGTGAAATGGATAAAATAAAAACAGTTAATGTAGTTAAACTGATATTTGAAAAGCAAACATAACATAGAAAACTTATAAATATAAATAGAATATATATATTTATTTATTTATTAAATTTTAACACATGAAATGATTAATTATGACACAGTTATAGGTAATTTTAGAGATGGAATAATGTTTTTGTTAGTAGCAGTTCTGAAAATGCTAATGAGAAAAACAAACTAGCAACAATTTGCTTGTAATCTTCTGTTGATGACGTTACAAAATCAAGGGTGTCTACCACATACATCCTATATTGAAAGTTAGACACTGTGAAAGAATTATGTATTCAATAAAAGAATATTTGTTTTTCCAATAAATAGCATAATTACAAAAATAAACACTGATGTATTAATACCTTCTTCCCTCCTCTGCCAAGCTAAACATGCACATAAAAGAGCAAGGCTCTTTCCACTGCCTGTTGGAGACTCTAATAAACAATTCTGTTTTCGATCTAGACCCTGAAGTATCTAGACAAAATAATAATCATATTAGCTTTACACAGTATATCTTTAGCATGTCACTATCTTATTACAGTCTATTGCTATTCTTTCTATTAGGTTGTCAAGAAATTAATGTTGCTTTTAGTTTAGATGAAAAAACCCGAACATCTTATATATCAAACAAAACATTTATTAAATGAAATAGTCTTCATTCTTATCAATGATGCTTTTCCATTTTACAGTCAGGTTGTTAATGCCTTGATTAAAAAAATCATTTGGCTTTGAAGCAAAAAAACATGTCGATGTCCTCTTTAACATCTTCCACATTTGCATAAGTTTTCTCATTAAGATGGTGTTGCAGCAAACGAA